GGCAGCGGGGGTGTGGAAGGGTCCCCGCAGGACAGCGCTGCACTGGGGGGCTGTGGAAGACCAGGGAGGAGCAAGATGAGGGGAGCTGGGAACTCTCACCTCTAACTTGCCTGTCTGTCCCATTCAGCGCTTCCTACCACACCAGCTGCACCCAGACTCCCACCGACAGAGACACTGCCTCCCCTGTCCCCCCCTCGGGGTCTGGTGGCAGTGAGAACACCCCGGGGGGTACTCTTGCACTGGGATCCCCCAGAGCTGGTCCCTAAGAGACTGGATGGCTACATTCTGGAAGGACGGCAAGGCTCCCAGGGCTGGGAGGTGCTGGACCGAGCTGTGGCCGGCACAGAAATGCAGCTGTTGGTGCCAGGCCTCATCAAGGTATGTGCAGGAGGCCAGGAGTGGGGTGGGGGCCTCTTCGGTGACCTGTTGCATTCCCGGAGCCCCATCTTCTCTTCCTGATTTGCGTATATTCACCTCCTTGTCCTGCCCATGACCTCACCTCCCAACTGCAAGGTCTTTAGGAATGGGGCTGGGAGGGCGACGCAGCCTTGACCCACTTCCTGCCCTACTCCTCCTCACTCCCAGGATGTTCTCTACGAGTTCCGCCTGGTTGCGGTTGCTGGGAGCTACGTCAGCGAAGCCAGCAACACGGCCAACATCTCCACTTCGGGTGAGAATGTGGTGGGAGCAAAGGGCGGTGGGGCTTGCGCTTGAGGAGTCCCGAGCCCACTGACCTTTCTTCTGCTTCCGGTGTCCAGGCCTGGAGGTCTACCCCTCGCGCACACAGCTGCCGGGCCTGCTGCCTCAGCCCGTGCTGGCTGGCGTGGTGGGCGGTGTCTGCTTCCTGGGCGTGGCCGTCCTCGTAAGCATCCTGGCCGCCTGCCTCATGAACAGGCGCAGGGCTGCGCGACGCCGGCGCAAGCGCCTCCGCCAGGGTAGGTTCCTGCATGTTGTTCCTGGAGCCCCTCCACCCACAACCCTGGCCTACTTGGGAGGAAAGGCCCTCCCTCCCACACAGTCCAGGTGCACCTGGGCTGTCCCACCCTTTTCCCAGCCCAATGGGCAGGGGCTGGGTGCCTAGCATTGGGTGGGCTGTGGAGAGCTTGGTTTTGGCGGGGTCACCTGTTCTCATGCCCTTACAGATCCACCTCTGATATTCTCCACGCCCAGGAAGTCTGGCCCACAGTAAGTCCCACTATTGTACTCGCCAGTAACCACTGCTTCCTCCTCTGCGCCTTCTCCAGGGCCAGAACAGAAGCTGGAGGTGGGTGGGAACGGGGTGCAGAGGCCCGGCCTGGGCACGGACCCAGCGTTGCCCGTGCCGTCCCTCCACCCCCGCCACCATATTGGTCCTCTCCTCGCTCACCCTAGTGCTGCTCTGTTGTGCACCAAACTTCTCCAGGACAGACCCTGATCTCCTGTCCTTCCCCAGCTCTGCTCCTGGCTCAAGCAGCCCTGACAGCGTGGCCAAGCTGAAACTCCAGGGCTCCCCAGTCCCCAGCCTGCGTCAGAGTCTCCTTTGGGGGGAACCTGTTCGTCCCCCCAGCCCGCATCCGGATCCTCCATCTAGCCGGGGACCCTTACCCCTGGAGCCTATTTGCCGAGGCCCAGACGGGCGCTTTGTGATGGGACCCAACGTGGGAGCCCCCCAAGAAAGGTCAAGCCTGGAGCGGGCAGAACTTCAGGCCCCATCCCAGCGTCTGGCCCGGTCCTTTGACTGTAGCAGCAGCAGCCCCAGTGGGGCACCCCAGCCCCTCTGCATTGCGGACATCAGCCCTGTGGGGCCCCCTCCAGCAGTGCCACCCAGTCCCCTACCAGGTCCTGGACCCCTGCTCCAATACCTGAGCCTACCTTTCTTCCGGGAGATGAATGTGGATGGGGACTGGCCCCCGCTAGAGGAGCCCAGCCCTGCTCAGCCCCCAGATTACATGGATACCAGGCCCTGCCCCACCTCATCTTTCCTTGGCCACCCGGACTCCCTGCCTATGTCCCCCAGGGCAGCACTTCCTGGCGCTGTGGTGGGGGCTGGGGCCATGTCAGAATCCCCCTACACAGCCCTGGCTGATTGGACGCTGAGGGAACGGCTGCTGCCAGGCCTTCTTCCTGCTGCTCCCAGGGGCAGCCTTACAAGCCAGAGCAGCGGAAGGGGCAGCGCTTCCTTCCTGCGGCCCCCCTCCACGGCCCCCTCTGCAGGGGGCAGCTACCTCAGCCCGGCGCCAGGAGACACCAGCAGCTGGGCCAGTGGCCCTGAAAGGTGGCCCCGGAGGGAACATGTGGTGACAGTCAGCAAGAGGTGAGGGCAGCTGCTGCCTATCCTTGCCCTCATCCTGGTTCTGTACTGTTGGCTCAAATAATATCCCCCTCACCCAGTACCCCACACTGCTCCCTCACCACTCCCATCCTGGGACTTAGAGACCCTGTCTTCTGTTAGATGCTTTTGCCAAGGTGCAGGGATCTTCAGGGGAAACCTACGGCCAAATTTGAGTTTGGGGGCCCCAGCTCCAGACTTTTCTAGATATTGTCTGTCCGTTTACCACAATATGTGTGCTTGTCCCTTTTTATAGGAGGAACACATCTGTGGATGAGAATTATGAATGGGACTCAGAATTCCCTGGGGACCTGGAATTGCTGGAGAATCTGCACCTGGGCTTGGCGAGTTCTCGGATCCGAACCGAAGCTGAGCCAGAGTTAGGTGTGTAAGCCTCTGGAAAGGCAGGCACTAGTGGCTGTGCTCTCCCATGTACCCCCGCCACCTGAGGACCAGTCTGTGCCACCAGGCCCCATATCAGACTCCTTTTCTACAGTCCGTGCCTTGCTCCCATGTACATCTGCTCCCAAAGGCCCTTTGGATCCTCACGTCTGAGTGTCAAGGCCGCCGCCTCATTGTCCTGCTTTCCTTGTGCAGGCATGAAGACTCCAGAGGAGAGCTGCCTTCTGAACACTGTCCATGCTGCTGGCCCTGAGGCCCGCTGTGCTGCACTTCGAGAGGAATTCCTGGCCTTCCGCCGCCGCCGCGATGCTACCCGGGCCCGGCTCCCTGCCTATCGACAGCCAGTCCTCCATCCTGAACAGGCCACGCTGCTGTGAATATCCCTAATGTGAGGCTGGGCGGACCCGCACTAGGCCTATGGACCTATAAAGGAGGCGCCCAGCAAGACCTAGCTGCAACTTGGGGCACTGCCCCCTGCCCTTTGGTGCCTAGGCACGGACCCTGATGGTGGGCTTGGGTGAGCTTGGTATGGAATGTATGTGCTGAACCCCTAGGTGAGTCTGGAGTCTGGGAATTGGAACAGGGATCTTAGCCTGCCCGTGTGTGTGTGTGTGTGTGTGTGTGTGTGTGTGTGTGTGGTGTATGTGGTATATGTGGTGTGAGTGAAGTTTTTTACAGGTAAATAAAGTCTGAAAAAATATTCCTGTGTATCTAGCTTTGAAACTGAGTGAAGTGGGAAGATCCCTGTACCCTTAAAGAAGAGGGGAAACTTTCTGAACAAATGGGGGTGTTTTCAACAGTCATTCCCTAAGGACTTACTGGGCGCCTACTGAGCTTGGCTACTAAAGACCAGCTGTTAAGCCAGAAGCCGTGAGAAAATACAAAGTTTGTAAGACATCACTTTGTCCTTGGGGAGTTCTTTCTAGCCAGTGAGGCAGGGAAGTAAAGAAATAGTTCCAGTATGATGCGATAAGTTCCTAGATAAAGCTATGTGTGGGTTATTGTGGTAACACAAAGGAAAGAGTTCAGCTGGAGTCAACATTTAGTGAATGTTTACAATGTGTTCTGGGGAAAATGCTACATATGGGGCATCTTTTGGATACCTCCCGGAAGGTGATAATAATGATAGTCACATTCACGTGTGCCGGGCACTGCTATAAGCTCTTTACATGTTTTGTTCAGTTATCTACAGCTCTGAATCTTGGTAATATTGTTGCCTTCCTTTGTAGACAGGAAGCGAAGCATAGAGGGCTTTAGTAATTTGCCCCAAAGTCACAAAGTGGGGAAGGGCTAGAGTAGGTGAGATGCCAGTCAAGGTTGGAAAAGTACCTCATGTGGGTCACTGGGCCTGGTGGCCTAATGGTGCAGGCCTGTAATCCCGGCACTCTGGGTGCCTGAAGCTGGATGATCCCAAGCTTGGGGCCCAGACTGGCAACTTAGTAAGACCCTGTCTCAAAATTTAAAAAAGGGCTAGGGATGTAGCTTAGTGTGAAGGCCCTGGGTTCAATCCTCAGTACCACCAAAAAGAAAAACACACCACGGAGAGGAACAACCAACAGCCTTTGCAATGGCACAGGAGGGAAAACACTTGACACGCCGTAGGTCTGAGCAGGACGGGGAGGGGACAGGTTGGAAGGTTCAGAAGATGCTGGTTGTTGACGTCTATCAGGCTCAACAGGGGCCTCTACCCTATATGAGAGCACCACTGATGATGAGCAGGGGCCCTTCCCAGGAACGCTGCTCAACCGAAGCCTGAAAGGGAGGGGGTGCTTGGGAAGAAATGCCAGGTCAGAGATGAGCAGGCAGGAGAAGTCAGGCCTGAACCTAGAGTCCCAACACTGACCACGCCCTTTGCGCCCCGGGGCAAGGCAAGCAATGACCTCACTGTTAAGTTTCTGCCCAGGCTTGAAGGCCATGGCAAGCAAGACCACATGGGGGTGCTGTTCTGACCTGCCAGCCCCGGGCCTGTCACACCCTTGCTACTCATTAGGGGTGGGTTTTCCTGTGCCTCCATTTACCTTGCTAGTCTTAACAAAGGGGAAGTTTCTGCCCACATACACATGCCCACAGTCCTGAGCTCATCTAGGGAGAAAGTTTCCTTCTGGAACACAAGTCTATGGGCTCCTGGGTGGAGGCTGAGGTTAGCATGTGGGGAAACCACTGCAGCTGCACCCTAGGCTCCTCAGCTGCTGTAACCCTCACTTACTATCCTGTCTTCTTAAGCACTCTCTTGCCGTCCGTCGCGGCGCCTTTAAACCCTCAGGGCCTTTGCCCCGCCCCTGGTCCGCCCTGTCTGAGGCGGGACCCTCTGAAAACCCCTGGCCCGCCCGGCCCGTGCGCACCACTCCAGCTGCAGCCCGTGCCGCGCACGCTTAGTATCCAGCCCGCCTAGACGGTGAGCGGGACTCGGGGGTCAAGGGAGGGGTAGGGCTGCATGCTCTATAGAAAGCAAGAAGCCAGCGCTCGACACTTGCTCTGGCGAGCCTGGAAATCAAGAGCTGGCGCCTGCAAAGTCCAATGACCGCTGTGCTCCGCCCTGCGCTGTCAGGTCCGGTCCCCAAACCCTGACCCCGCGTTGCTGAGCGATGAGGTCAGGCGAGGTTTGCCTGTGCATGGACGGGGCGTCCGTGCGGAATGGGGCTCTGGGACCAGTCCCTCTTGTTGTAGACCCGCGCGTGTCGCGGTTGTGGAGGGAAAGGAGGGCGTGAGGCGTCGGCTGTGCGACCCGAGTGCTATGTGCCCCCAGTGCGGGGCGCCCGGGTCCGGCTCCGCGCGGCTTCACTTCCTGGTTCCTGGAGCACGTGTGGGCGCCGCCTGTCCTCTGGGCCCTCGAGGCTGCCCTTTCTGTACTCCTGCTGCCTCGCTATTCAGGGGACTCAGGGTCACGGCTGAAGGCAAGGGACTGCGCGCGTGGGTCCTGTGTGGTGGCCTAGCCTTCTGCGAGGCTTCCGAGCCTGCAGGAGAACCCCCTCCCCCGACCTCAGGCCTCTGGTGGCCCTGGTGCGCCCCGTCTGGGTGAGCAGGGGGTGGCTGATTTCCAGGCCTGCCCACTCCTGCCCGCGCCCCGCCGCCCCCTCCCGTGCCCCCTGCTGCTGGGAAAGCCGGCGGTGGCCCCGGGCGGGCGGGCTGCCCAGACCACTGCGTCACCCCAGTGGCGGGCGGCGGAGGGGTGACTCATCCGCTAACGGCCCAGGGTGTGGCCGGGTGTGTGTTGGGGGGGGCAGGGGCTGGACCTGCAGGGCCTGTAGTATGTTGCTGCTTTCCTGGCTTTCGGGTCTCCAGGGACCGGCACCATAGAGGTCTCGTCACATTAGGTGTGTGTAGGGGGGTGGTGCGGGGGGAATGGAATGCGGAGACGCGTGTTGGTCGGGGAACCCTCCGAGGTGGACGAGCTTTGGTCTGTTCTCTGGGACTCTAAATACCAGTCGGGGATAGCCACGAGACCGCCACTCCCTTCGCAATCTCTTCTCCCCGCCCCACAGGGCCGACCTCAAACAGCAGGGGAGGTCAAGGTAGAGTGGGCCGGCCAGGTGCTATCGCTCCTGAACCGGCAACCTTCGTCCACTGTATCCCCTGTCCCACACCCTTGGCCTCAGTCCCTGCCTTGCCCACTGGAGTGTGCGTCTAATCCTTCCCTCACCCCGTCCCTCCACCCTCCAGGAATTTCAGGTGTGGGGTCTCCAGCTCAGAATACCGTGCCTTCCGGGACAGTTCAGGCAGTTCGTTGAACTGTTTCCTTGCCTGTGCTTTTCTACCCCCAAACCGGACATCGGCACCTCCTCCAGTTGTTCTTCAAACCTCCACTCCCATCGCTGCCACCTCCAGGGTCTCCTGCCCCTGGATCTCCCCAAGGGCAGAGAGGGCTCCACTTGTGCCCTGTGCTCATGCGTTGAGGACGGGTGTGTCGCCCTGGTGTCTCTGCCTGGTGCCCCCACCCTGCCTCCATTCCTGTGTTTGGTATACAGAAGCCATGGCAACGCCCCCCCCCTCCCCCGCAGCACCCCTGACCTTCCTGTTTGTGTTGCTTCAGCTTACTCTTCTGCTGGGGACTCCAGGGATGAGGGGATGTCCCCTGTGGGGAGTGGGTCTGCCCTAGGGCCACCCCTCAACTACAGTTCTGCTGTCCTTGCTTCTGCCTGCTCCTTGTACTGCCCTTCCCCAGTCCCACTTCAAGTCCCCTGTATCCCTTCTGTACAGGGAACGTCCCTTGTCTTCACTGTCAAACGCTCCAGCCAACAGCCTTGCAACCCCCTACTGACATTGGGTGTGTCCTTTTTTTCCACATCCACCTGGAGTTGCTCAGCCCAGGGTCTGGGGTGGGGCAGAGGGCTCCAGGCCTTTCCCCGCCCCTCCTTCCTTCTCAACTATTGTCACCTCCTGGGTGGGGGTGGGGGTTGTTCCCACAGCAGCAGTCAGCTCTAGAGTTTAGGTTACTCTCTGCCAACCCACCCCCCAAGTTGTTCAGCTGATGTCTTCCCGTGGGGTCCCCTGCATTGAGCATCTGCTCACCTGTCTTGCAGCTAGATGCACCTCTTTTCACCTGGCCAGTATAGGAGGCTGGCTGTTTCCCCTTTCTTTGGGGGAGGGCAGGGGCAGGTCACCTGGATGGGCTTCCCCAGCTGCAACAGCTGGAGCCCATCTCCAGCGGCTGCCTGCCTTGGGGGGATGAGGAGAGACAGCTGCTGCCCCGGCTGGCCTACCCCTTCCCAGAACCTACCCCCCGCGCACCCAGGCTCTGGACCTCAGAGCTCTAGGGCAGTGCCTCCAGAGTGGAATGGAGACACTACAGCTGGAGGCATGACCCTGCCAGCTGTGCCCCTGCCAACTCTGCCCTGGCTGCAGAGTCCCCAGGGAGGGGCCCTCAGCATCCATCCTTTGCCCGAGGTAGGTCTGGGGGCCAGGACTGTTCTACCCTCGGCAGGGGAGGTGGGGGACCATGGACAGGCCTGGCTTTAGGCCCTTCTCCCCCCTTCTTAACCCTGGTGTCTGTTAATCATCTTCTGTCCTTTCTTCACCTGTGCCATGGTGACCCCTGGGCCTCTGGCTCCCTGCAAACAGCCCTGAGACCCAGGTGGCCATTGCAAAGCTGCTCCTAGGGGAGAGTCTGAAAATAGACTTGGGAAAGGGGGCTTGGTGATGATAGCAGCCTTAGCCCCTCTTCCTCCCAGGGCTTCCGGCCATTCCTCTGTGGTCAGAGGTTACAGGCTTGCATAGACTGAGTGGCGGCTGAGCAGCTGGCCCTGGGCAGGGGGAAGCCTGCCCCCCTTTCTCCTCAGCCACTCCACCCGCCTGTCCCCCCAGCCGATTGGTGTGGCTGGTGGTGTGGGTCAGGACCCAGAGTGACATGTATCTGGCCTGGCTTTCAGGCTGGGGGAAATGGAGGGGGTGGTTGTTAATGAGGTTTAAAAATAACTGATTTGTGGAGAAGATGTCTGCGGGAAATGTGCAACTACGTAAGCTACGTTAGAAAAGAGGAGCCGTGTTGGAGGGAGGGGGAGGGGATTGATCAAAGGCACAGCAGCAAAGGCTAAGGGGCGGTGGCCTGACTCCTTCGGGCAGAGCACCAGCCCACGGAGGGGGTGGCAGGATCCTTTAACCTGGGTGCTTGGGAGAGGGAGCCAGAATGACTTCATCCCTGAAGTCTGATCTGGCCTGGAGCCCAGTGTGGGCGAAGGGGTGGCTCCCTTACCTCCCTTGAATGCAGGTGCCTGTCTTGGGGACCCACTTTGGTGAGCAACCAAACAGCCGGCCTCTATTTCCAAGCAGTGAGGAGAGCCCACGGTGGGGGTGAGGACAGGAAATGGGGGACTGTGTCCCTGCTCTGTTCCTGCCCTTTGGCACCAGCAGCACCCTAGGACTTGCTCAGCAAGTATGGGAGCTTTTAGCGAGGTGGTGGGTGGAGCTGACTGCCGTGGTGAGGCGCTGCCGGCGCAGGCCAGTGGTAAGAAACCACCTAATTCTTGCTAACCAACGTCCTCAAACCTTGGAGTTAACAGAATCCCCCGTGTACTTCCCCTCCTTCTCACTCTTCCAAATTTCCCTGAAAATACACCCAAGACTCTGGAATTAGTTTCCTATTCTACTGTAATAAACTTCTCTAAACTTAGTGTTTAGTGTCTCAGAGTTTTAGAGACCACAGCAGGGTCTTACAGGGTAAGGTCCAGGTGTTGGTGGGGTGTGGTTCCTTTTGCGGGGAGTTGGAGAGATCTATTGCCTTTTCTGGCTTCTAGGGGCCACCTGCCTTGTTGGTTCATGACACCCCCTTGACTCTGATTTGTGCTTTTTTTCTTTTCACCTCTCCCACTCTGACTCGTTTGCCTCCCTTTTACTTGGTAAGGCCCCTTGTGATTACGTTTGGATCCTGGATAATCCAGGATCATCACCCCAGCTCAAGACCACTAATTTTAATCCCACCTATGAAATCCCTTTGGGCCTGTAAGGGAAATAATATCCACAGGTTCTAAGAATTAGAACATGGACACCTCTGGGATGGGGACATTATTTTGCCGACCACACCTCCTAGAGGGGAAAGGGGAATTTGTTTTGATTACCTGGTTTCTCATGAGAAATTCCCTTTGTCTGCTAAAGTAGTCTGGTAAGGGCCTATCCAGGCCTTCCTCTTCCAACAAGCCCACCCAGTTCTGCCCTTCCTCTTTTGTTACTCCGTATATGTAGGACCTGAACAATGAAGTTCATGATTTCTTGTGTGTAATCCTTCTCCTATTCTGTGTACTCACTTTGTTGCACCAAAGTAACTGTGGGCCCCTTAGGGACCTGTCCCTTCTGCAGATCTTAGCACAAGTAACAAGTGCTCAGTTAAAACCTGGTGATTGATCAAGCATAGATCCATTCAACCTTCCAAGCCCTGGCATAGCTTTTTGCGAGCAGCTCTGTATTATTCCTGTACTCCGAGTCATTCATTCTCTTTCCTGTGCAGTAAAGAGCGTGGCTGGAGTTAACATGACCAGTTTTGCCTTTATGAGAGTTGATCATCCCTAATGAACAGCAGAACCCCAGTCACTTATCTTGTATTCTAGTTCAGTCGGTTTTATGCTTTGTTCTGGTAGTAGAACCATTTGTTGAAATGCAATGTAGTGGGGACCCTGAAGATAAAAGACAGCTGCTTGTCACAGAGAATCCAGAGTTCTGAGTATCAGGTGAAAACTTCACCTAGCAGCAGTTCTGCTTCTTACTCTGGGGACCCATGTTGGAGGATATGGTGTGAGTCTCTACAGGCCAGATACCCCATGGTTGACCACAGTCCTGCTTGTGTCTTCTGCCCAGCTCCCCACAGCCACCACAGGCATTCGGAATGGCCAACAGGGGACCTGCGTATGGCCTGAGCCGGGAGGTACAACAGAAGATTGAGAAACAGTATGACGCTGACCTGGAGCAGATCCTGATCCAGTGGATCACCACCCAGTGCCGCAAGGATGTGGGCCGGCCCCAGCCTGGGCGTGAGAACTTCCAGAACTGGCTCAAGGATGGCACGGTGAGAACTGGGCCTCCACTGCATTGGAGGGGCAGGAAGGGCAAGATTGGACCTGGGGAACCAGGAATTGTTTAGTTGTCAGAAGAAGAACATGTGGGCCCAGCTTCTTCCTCAGCCTGAGTATTTTTATCAAGGATATGAGACGCCCCATGCTTTTATTTCTCCACTGAAGGAAGGTAAGGGTGAACATGCCCCGCTAGAACAAAGGTAACACTCCTAGAAGGTCCCACGTAGCAACAAAGAACAATAGCTCCAAGGAGAGAATGTGGGAGGGTGGACTCTAGACAGTGCCACTGGAGTAGCAAGGGGAGACAACACAGGCTTTTTGCTCTGGGGCTCAAAAGGGAAGGAACCTCTGAGGCTCGCTCTGGCAAAGGAGCCTCTTTGGGACGTTGTCCCAGGCTCTGAGGGTTGTGACGCTGATGTGCAGCAGGCATGAACTCACCTCTGGGCTCACCCAGGTGCTGTGTGAGCTCATCAACGGGCTGTACCCCGAGGGGCAGGCCCCGGTGAAGAAGATCCAGGCCTCCACCATGGCCTTCAAGCAGATGGAGCAGATCTCTCAGTTCCTGCAGGCAGCTGAGCGCTACGGCATCAACACCACCGACATCTTCCAAACTGTGGATCTCTGGGAAGGTGAGCCAGGGTCAGGGCCTGGGGGCTGTCATCCAGGAGACCAGAGATTGGACGGGGCCACCTTGACCAGGGAAGGGACAGGTTTGCAGCTTCTGAAGACAAAGAAGAGTGTGTGCGTGTTGCATGGAGGAGGTGGCCACGTTGCAGATTGGGATGGAACAAAGAGTAAAAGGCTTGAGTGCCAGGTTGCTGACTGAGTGTTAGAGGTGGCACCCTGGCATTCAGGATCTCAGCCCTGCTGAGGCCAACACAGCCCTCTTCTAACAGGAAAGAACATGGCCTGCGTTCAGCGGACATTGATGAACCTGGGTGGGCTGGCAGTGGCCCGGGACGACGGGCTCTTCTCTGGGGACCCCAACTGGTTTCCCAAGTAAGTATTGTTGGGACCACCATCAGGGCCCTGCGGGCAGTGATCCTGCCCAGTCCTGTCCTCGGGAAGTAAGTGATGTCTGTCTGGCAACTGGTTCCTTACAAAGCACTTTCATATTACTCATCTCACTTAATCCTCGTAGCCGTTTGGGGTGGCACATGACTGTCCCTTTAGAGAGATGAAGAGGTGCCTGGGGCAGAGCTGGTGCCCGTCCTTGAGTCCATTGCAGAGCCTTTGTTCTGTCCAGGGAAGAGATTTGCTGGGGCAGCCTCTGACCTCCTCCTAACCAGTGTTCCCTTCCTACCCAGGAAATCCAAGGAGAACCCTCGGAACTTCTCAGACAACCAGCTGCAAGAGGGCAAGAATGTGATTGGGTTACAGATGGGCACCAACCGCGGGGCATCTCAGGCAGGCATGACTGGCTACGGGATGCCACGCCAGATCCTCTGATCCTGCCTCGCCCCTGCCTGCCCTCCCACGAATGGTTAATATATATGTATATATGTTTTAGCAGTGACATTCCCAGAGAGTCCCGTGAAGCTCTCAAGCTCCCCTCGGCCGGGGCGGGCATCCAAGCTCTCCTGTCACCTGTGGGGGTGCCTAATGGAACCTTCCCCCTGCGCTTACTAATACATTCCTTCCCCACACCCATCAAAACTGGACCAACTTCTCCCCTGGGACCAACATTTGTGGGGCTCTTAGCCCTCCACTCCCTACCACGCCTGTGCTCTTTCTGTCTGGCCTCTCCTGAGCCTGAGTGCTGAGCCTGTCCTTGGCGCAGAGTCAGGGATGCTGCCTTCTGGACTGGTGTTGGGCTGGCCTTCCTTCCACCAGTATGCCTGTCCCACAGCTGTGACTGTAGGGACTTAATTTATAGGGAGGAGCCTGTGGTGACTGCCACTCCAGCCACAGCTGGACTGTGCTCACCACCCATCTGGGGCAGCCTTCCCTGTCAGAGGCCCTCTTGGTTTCTCATTTTCCATTCCCCTTGCTGTGGCTAAGGGATAGGGTGGAGGGGACAGAAGGGGAGGGCTGCCCACTATGATCTGGGGCTTGAGGAATATGAATTTGCTGACTTAAATAAAGAATCATGGTCTTTTTTGGATGGACTCTGGCTGTGTCTAGGGCCACTGTGCCCAATGTGGGGAAGGGGGAATACTGGGCAAAGGGCAGAAGAGGCACAGAGGGCAGAAGTCGGAGTTTGCCATGCCAAGCTCTGTCTTTCGTTTCTTTCCTGTCCTCCTTGGCACTTGGCTTGGGGAGGGCAGGTTGGGGATGAGAAGGGATAAGACCTCACAGCTGTCCTTGGGATGGGAGCCAGACCCAGAATACAAGGGCAGCGTCAGCAGGGAGGTAGGACCCTCGCTCCCTGATGGGTTGGGCAGTCCTGTCCTGTGCTCCAGGCCACCCCCACATAGGTTCTTAGCCAGTGCTGACAGGCGGAGGGTGTTGACCTAGTGTTGAGTCCTGGGCTGTAGTCCCCAGGTAAAAGGCCCCCTTAGGCAGCTGTGGGGCATGGGCCTGTGTTGTCATAGGTCACAAAGCTTGGGGGCTGAGCGTGGGGTTGCAGTGATGAGGAACTGGAAGCTGGGGAGTGAGCAGCAACGAAATGGTGCTGGTAGCTGGAGGGACCATCCAGATGAAGCCCTGTTGTTCGATCCCAAGTGTCTGTGAGCTGTATGCTGGGGAAAACCCAGTGGCAGAGAGCTTCCCTTCCCAAGGGATGGCCTTGGACCAAGATAATCAACTTTGGGTCAAGTTGTCTCCAGCTCCCAGCCTGATCTAAGCATGAATGTCTCATCCCTTAGGAATCGCCGTCAACCCCAGGCCTTCTGTATCAGCTCCACTGTCTTCCCAGGGAGAACTTCAAAGACTCTTGTGTTACCTCCTGGGTCATTAGGCCCCACCTCCATTAGCCCTCTGCAGCGGCCTGGCCTCCAAGGTCCCTGTGTCTCTTTCTGCTTTAGAGTATCTCTGTCTTAGGAAGAGAAAACCACAATTTAGAGCCTGAGGGTGACAGATTACTTGGTTTGTAACCAAAGTGCTTTCATTTTCCTCCCCAAAAGACTCCTCTGCTCCACTGTGGCTGCCTCTTCCTAGAAGCATCTACTACGTGCCAGGCCCCATGCCACTGTTTTAGAGCTGTCAGCTCTGTGGCTCCCAGCCTTGTCCTGATACCACACTGGGAGAGGTTGTATTTACTTGCTTGCTGCACTCCCAGGGGCTGCGGCACAGATAAGATAGGCTGCAGTCTCTGGGCAAATTCCCAGGGGATTAACTGTCACTCCACCCCTTTATCTCCCACTCAGGAAGGCTTTGTGGAATGCTGGGGGGTGGGGAGTGAGGGGGAGAAGAGAGAGCGAGAGATCATTGCAGAGAAAACATTGAACTTACTGATACTTATACCGAAAAGCAAACCAACTTGCATCCTTTCCTGATTTAACTATTTACAGGTACAAATTATTGGTGCCACACCTCACGGTTCTCTGAGACATGCTAGCCACACTTCCAACACTGCTTTCTAGCGTTTCGCAGCAGTCCCTCAGGTGGATACACTACATTATCGCCCTCATCCTCAGAGGTGGACACTGGGGTTCAGAAAGGGCCACAAACTTGTCCAGGGCCACATACCCAGTAAAGTCGTGGAGCGGGGATTGGAGAAGCCCGGGTCGATGTGGCTGAGCCTCCAACTGAGGCTGTGCTGTTGCTGTCTCAGTCCAACACGGGGCTGTGGAGTGAGGGAGCAGAGGTTGTGGCGTGGTGAGGTGCAGTGCTCCTCGCCCCTAACCTACAGTAAGGCTGCTGTGTGGACGGGACTTTGCAGAGTGAACGCGAGCATGCAGAAGTTGCTCAAGAGAGGTTTGTGCAGATAATGCCCTGCTGAACTTGCTCAAGGAACCTTCAGCTGGCCCTGACTCTACTCCTGAATAACATTTTCATGGCAAACATCAACTGGCTTTGAGAGGCACTCATTTATTTCCCTCCTGGCTGCATCTACCAGGCCATTGCACTGTGGGTTCAGCTCCTCCCTGGTCTCCACTGGCATCTCCAAATCTTGTTTCCTGAATTTTTATTTCATTTTTTTTTGCTTTTAGCATTTGGTCCCATCTGAGGTCATAGTTTTACCCCTAATTTGGCTCCTCCCATCTCCCCAGGAGCCTCTTCTGGTCATCTCCTAGCCCCCTGTTCTGTTTTGGCTATCTACGCTGGTGTTTCATAGCACTACTTTTGCAGGACCATTCTGGAAAAATCTCCTACTACATCTCACCATGGCTCACTGCTTTATCACCTTCAGGGCTTTGTTCAAATGTCATCTTTCCTGATACATTATTTAAAATTGCACACTCCGCCCTCAGCCCACACCCCATCCTCTCCCCTGGTTTCACTTATTACCACCCAGTATGCTTTACTTACTCCTGTCCCCACCCATGCAATGTACACTGCTCAGAGGCAGGCTTTTGTTGGTTTTATTCATGTGAAGTAGTGGTTGGCAAAGTGGAGTGCTAGAGAAGTATTTGTTGAATGAATGAGTGTTCATACCACTGTTCGGCTCCTGAGTTCCCTGGACTATAGCATAACACCCAGCCAGCCCAGAGTCTCAGCAGTCTAGTCTGTCACTGGATCTGATATGAAACCCAGCTCATCTGGCAGTCCCCAAGCCTCCCCACTGTTCATTCCCCAAAGATAAAAACCCAAGAAGCCTCAGTCGCTACAGCCAGGAGAGTGGAGGTTAGGAAGGAAATGGAAGGCAGTGTGTGTGCTCTGGGCAATGGAAGCTACACTGAGGATTTGGGAGAAGGAATAGAGGTAGGCAGGAGGAAGAGGTAGGAGCCAGTTTCGTTTGTTTATTGTTTGCCTCAACCTTGAAATGGAAAATCACTATGGAGGTGGAGGCAAAGTAGGTTTGGCCCACACCAGCCAATGGAGGGAGAGTTGTGGAGGGAGGCATTGAAAAGAAGGAGGAAGAGGAAGAAGACCCTGGCGCTCTGCCCCTTTGGCTCACCTGTGGGTAAAAAGAATGTGTCTGTGCAGCCTATTCTTCTGCATGTAAGTGCGTCTAGATGTGCTAGAATCCACCAGAGTAGGGTTCAGACGGGTGCACGTAGGAGAGAATGAACCTGTGACCGTGTAAGGCGCTGCCTGCGAGTGTGTTTACCCAGGACTGAGGATAATAGGTACACAGAGATGCTGGTCTTTTGTGCGTAGGCATCTGTGTGTGGAGAACAATGTGTCCCATTCCTGTCTGTGCAGCTGAAGGAGGCCTTTGAGATCTTGGCAAAAGGCCAAAGAACAGGGGAACAGGGCAAGAGCTAGACAATAGGACCCTAGGGAGAGAAAAGTGAAGGACCTGGCATTAAATTTGTTGGAGAAAAGGCTAAAAGAGTAAATTAATAACTGTCTCCTTGCAAAGCGGTGGGTTTTAGTCCCAATGACCCAAGCTGCATCCTGAAAAATTTAAGTTAGACAAGGAAAAATGATCCTTTTGACTCTGAAGGTTATTAGCCTCTGGAATCTCTGAAGGGTCAGGAAGAATGTCTTCAGTAAATAGGAGAAATTACATCCCCTAAAGGAGGAAAACAGGCAGTTCTGCCTGGGAATGCTCAGGTACACCCTTGTTTTTTTCATTCATATATTCATTCAGTAATTATTAAGGTTTTACTCTATGTCAGGCCTTCTGAGAGTAGCAGTTATTGATACATGATCTCTGTTCATAGCTGTGTGGTCCTGTAAGTAGATAAAACATGGATAGGAGTCATGGTGATTCAAGGAAACAGTAGTTTATGCCTTTGGCGAAATGCCCTGTGTAAATTCCTGAATGTCATGGGGAGATAATATCTGTCCCAGGGACAGTCTTCCTTGATATGGTCAGGGGAGCAGAGGAGCCTGTTACGGGACTTCTCTGGAAAAAGGCACAGTCACTGGCTCTGTGGTCAGAGATCAAATTTCAGTCAGGGGAACTGAGCGCGATTCCTTTCCTATCTGTGATGGGCTGGTCAAAGAGGGCTGAGTCAGGGTGGGAACCAGGGCTCAGAAAGGATGGACAGATCAATGTAACCGAGGCTCGAGATGGGTAGGGAGGGGTTGTATAAACATCTTCTCTGACACTGAGGCTGTTGCACCACTTCCCCCACTGTTGGCAGGACCTGACATTTGAACTGGTTTTCTGTTAGAGCAAGAAAATTGTTCTTTGTGGCTCTGAACCATGGTAGTGACAATGAGCATGATGACGGAAATGATGCTTGCTACTAATTTTTCTTCTGTCACAATGCTAGAAGCTTTAGTTGTAATTTGGATTTGTTCTTTTTTTTCTTTCAAAGACTATTTGTTGAGCACCTTTTCTGGATGAGGCATCTGCTAGGCTCTGCATGTCTGGCTGTTAATGTGACGATAGTTTTTGGTTTCCTGGAAGGAAGCGAGAAAAGCAAGGAGTTAATTATAATGCAACATAACATGTGTGTCTTAGTTACTTTTCTCATTGCTGAGACAAATACCCAACACCCACAAGTTAAGGGAGGAAAGGTTTATCTAGCTCACAGTTTGTAGATGTTTCAGTCCCTAATCATCTGGCTCCACAGCAGGGTGGCATGGCAGAGGAGAAACAGTTCATGGCAGGCAGAAGGTAGCAAAGCAACAAGGCAGTGAGCACTAGTCTTTCTGTCTCTTATATTGTATCCAGGCTATCAGTGGACTGATTTAGTAATCACCCACCCTTAATCCTAGCACCCTTAGTCCCAGCATTGCACCATGAATCAATCACACGCTCGAGATTCAGCCACCTCTGAAAAAGCCCTACTTACGACTGCCTGAGGCTTTGGGGAGACATCTAGACACAAGCCATAACATGTTAAGGGGTGTAGGTGCCACAAGAAGGGCCATGGACCAGGAAGGTGTCTGGAGGGTGACAATGTCATATCTGAAGATGTAAGTGTGACTGAAAGCATGATCGGGACATCAGCATTCATGAGAAAGAGAGTGTCTTCTGCAGAGGAGTGACCTGTGCATGGGCTTGAGGTTGCCCAGGCAGAACTGAACTATAGAACCATATGTGGAGGCATGAGGGGTGCAGTGTTGAGAAATGCAGTCAGAACCAGCAAAGGAGTTCAAAGTCAAGTTAACAATTTTGGATATTTCACTGAGGGGAAGGGAAGTCACTGAGGAGCAGGAGAATGAAGAGTTGTGAATTGTGTTTCATTTCAGAAGTCTATAAGGCTTCTGAAAGTCTATAAGTCTATAAGGCTTCAGGGTAGGGCCTGGCCTAACATCTGGGAAGTAGGCCACAAGCAGACTGAGTAGGTTTGCCGGAGTCCAGGCAGAAGTGGTGGTAGCCTGGGTTAAGGGCAGGACAGTAAGGATGGAGAGGAGAGGGTGACGCTCAAAGTTGCTGAGTGTTCTCTACGGAGAATGAAGGTGAGAGAGAGGAGTCAAGACAGGCAGTGGAGGAAATCGTGCTACCTGTACTTGAGACAGGAGACCCACGTGGAGGAGCAGATACCACCACAAAATATTAACGTCTGCCATTTTACGGATGAGGACACTGAGGCTAATAGAGTAAAAATAACTTACTAAACCACCTGGTGAGTGAGCTGAGATTTAAATTTAAGCAACAGAAGACCAAACTGTTGCTCCTCCTGTCCTGGAGCTCCCCTGTGAGATGACCAACCCCAGGGAAGGGTTCAGCCTACAGATGACTTGAGCTGCGGTTTTCCTGTCCCCGAGGCTACGGCCATGGGGGAGGAAGGGAGAGGTCAAGCTTGGCAGGAGGTACAGGAAGTCAGCTCTTGCAGCAGCCACCTCGCCAGTCAAATAGAGAACTGAGGAGAGTGCCTGAGGCTCAGCCCCTGGATCCTGCAGCTTGGAGTTTCTGTTCTCAGGGCTCCCTGACCTTCTTAGACCTCCCTCAGACAGCCCTACTTTTACCTCCAGCAACAAAAGCTACTGCAACCACTGGGACAATACTCAAGAGTTGCATTTTCAAGGCACTTTCGTATCTATTAATCCCTGGGAGGTTGTCACCTCCTGGTAAGGCTTTAGTATTCTCACACCCTTCGGAGAGAAGAGAAAAACCAAGCAAGACTGTAAGTGATTTTCCCTGGGCCCCAGGGTTCTTGAGAGTAGAAAGCATGTGTTATATATCTTCCTGTAGCTCCCAGTTCTCAGAACAGAGAGTGCTGGGCCCAGAAGGAGCTCGAAGTTCATTGTTTTGAATTGGTTCCGCATGTCCTAGACTCCAGATCTTTGGACGTTTGGTCACCCACTTGATGTTCAAAATATCGGGAAGTCAAACATCCCTGGGAATGGGGTTGGCTACAGATCCCAGAGGACACAAGATGCTGGGGTAATCTTGCAGCTTATGCTAATCTTCTCCTACCCTTGCCACAAGGAACCCCAACTTCTTAAAGTACATCCTCTTCTCCAAGCCAAGTCCAGCTGGGCATGGTGCCACAGGCCTATATTGCCAGCACTGTGGAGGCTGAGACAGGAGGATCGCCATGTGTTTGAGACCAGCCTGGGTTACATAGTGAAATCAAGACCAGTCTGGACTGCACAGTAAGACCCTGTCTCAAAAAAAAAGCCGGGCGAGGTGGCACACACCTGTAATCCCAGCACTTGGGAGGCCGAGGCAGGAGGATTGCTGTGAGTTCGAGGCCAGCCTGGGTTACAAAGTGAGCTCAAGGCGAGCCTGAAGTGCATAGCAAGACCCTGTCTCAAAAAAATAAAAACAAAAAACAAAACTTCAAACAAAAACAAAAACAAACAAACAAACAACAACAACAAAAACAAAGCAAAGTCCTAAGGCTGCCAACATCACAGTCCCCTGGGATGCTAGTTAAAATGAAGATTCCAGTTAGCCCTATGGGACTTACAGAGAGAGAACCTGGGATGCTGCTGGAGGATGTGGTATCTTGAATTGTCATTTAGAACAAACTTCCCCCATCCATCCTCAGGCAATACTGTCCTAGGAGATTGGAGAGAAGTTTCTCCAACAAGAAAATTGAGGTCTAGGAGGGCCCTGGCCTGAGTGAGCATGAATAGGAGCTGTCCCTACACCCTCTGTCTGCATTGTTTGTGGTGGAGTTGCCAGGGGAACCAGGCTGTGTAACTTCCTGGCTTTGGCGGCTTTCCCCTCCTTGGCCTTATCTCAGCATCCGGTACCAAGGCCAGGGCCCGGGTTGGTCACGTAGGAGGGACAGCTGTGCCAGATGTGTAGAGGCATGTTGAGGACACCAGGACAGGGCAGGCCCACGGACCTGGGCGAGCAGGAGATTGAGACTGACAAGGAGGCTGCAGATTCGCTACTGTCTTTCCTGTGGCCTAGGAGAAATTTGCTAAATGGGAATGTGGGGAATGGTGGTGGAGACCAGCTTGGGCTCTCTCTGTCATGACTGGCGGTTCAGCTTCTCATTCCTGGCCTGAAGCCTCTAGGGGAGGGAGAGGCTGTGTTACTAGCCCTGGGTCTTGTGCCTTCCTCTCTTCCTCCTTCCCTCCTCCCCTCTCTTCTCTAGATCCAGGGCCTCTGGTTGCAAGCGCCTCCCAGAAGCACCCCTTCTACCCCCACCCTGTTGACCCTGCTCCCAGGCTGCATCCATCCCTACTCTTTATCCTTGGTTCCAAATTTCTGCTTCTGTTTCAGACTCTCAGCTGGGTATCTCAGGCTGGAGCAGGACTGCCTGAAAGTTGTTAAGAAATAGAGTAAAGGGGCTGGGCATTTAGCTCAGTGGCACAGTGCCTGCCTGGCAAGCTCAAGGTCATGAGTTCAATTCCTGGTACCGGAAAAAAAACAAAAACAAAAGAAATAGAGTAAAAAAATTTGAACATGTAAGTATTTATTTATGTTTTGAGCCCTACTTTGATTTAGAAAGAATTTAGGGCAGTTTGGAGAGTTCAAGTGTTCTGGGAAGGAGGTTGGGGTGGCAGTGAAACAGCCTTCCAAACATCTCTGCAGCCTAGAGTTTTAGATGTGATTCCCAGTGCTGTTTATGCTACACTAAGGGCAAAGACCACCAGCCTCCCCAAACAAAAAACTTCCCATGGTTGGGGGAAAGGAAAGGGGAGAAAGCAACGGGACATTGTGCAAGCTGGTTTTTGAGCCTGGCTTTAATGGTACAATACCTCTTTCAAGCGGCTATTACTCCATCCTGTAGATGAGGAAACCAGGCCCAGGCCAGGGTTGAAACTTTGTTAGTTTGGCTCCAAAATCACTCTCCAATTTCCCGGGAAGCAGCACGGTGAACTTCTTTCCAGGGGTCCTTCGTGAGATTACTTCTAGAGGAAAGTGAACTTTACTGAGGACCAAATGGGCACCCGTTAAATGGAAGCAAAGGCTGCGCAGGACAATGGGGGTAGGTCCAAGGGAAGGAGGGGGTCTCTATCTTGGACAATTCCCAAGACTCAGCAGAAGAGTTCAGAGAAAACCTGAGCGGGGATGGGGATGATAGTGGAAGGGAGACAACAGTATCTTTTTTTTTTTTTTTAGTCTTATTTTTTTTAGACAACAGTATGTTAATCCCAGGCACGGAACACGTACTCCTCCTAGGAATGTGGAAACCCCGTCTCCTTCAAAATCCATGGCCCAGCTACTCTTATCCTGGTTCTGGTCCTCTTATTCCTCACCCAGCATCTTTGATCCCAGCGTTTGGAAGCACAGGTTCCTAAATGCATTTCAGCGCAGTTGGGGGAAGGGGAGGGAAAGCTTCCTCAGTACTCCTAGCCCAGAGACAAGCTTAAGTGAGAAGACAGATTTCCTTCTAACCGGGAGGGTTCCGCTGGACCTTGTCTACCAGGCTCCTCCTCTTTAAATGTGCTTACTCATCATGGAGTCAGACTTCCTGTGTCTCCCACCTCAGCCGGCACGGGGAATATCTTGGGGGCCAGGGAAGTGGCAGACCCATGAAGGCTCCGAGGCCCAGTGAGGACGAGGCAGCAGTGTCAGGGACAAGTCCAGCCCAAGACTGCTGGGCTATGGTCCAGCTGAGCGGCGCCCAGCTCCTTTGCTGCCTCCTGGCCCCTGGGCGGGAAATCCAGGCTTCCTTCTGAGACTTCTGTTGGTGAGAAGGGCAGGCAGTTGGAGGCGGGGCTGGAATCTGAACCTGCCCTCTGCTGACATCCTCGCTTCCTACCCTCTCCATTGTTCTCATCCCTTAGCTTTTTGGGCAGGGCATGAAATGGGACGGAGCCCAGAAGGAGAGGGAAAAGACAGTTTGGGGATCCAGGCAGAAGGCAAAGGACTCCACCTACGCATGAGCGGAAATGAGAGGAAGAAAAGATGGACAAGCGTGGGTGGCAAGGGAGGAGCGGCAGAGCTTGGCTCTCCGAGGGTGGGAGGTGAGAATAAGGTCGTTTTCCCCAGCCCCTCCGGATGTGGCTGCATTTTTGAGCCAAGTTTTTCTGAGAAGCAAAAGGTTGCCTCCCTACTTATCAGGGCTGGAACTTAGTTTCCTTAGGCCTGAAACTTACCAAGTTTGGAAGCTCCATTTGAGAAAAGCAGTACAAATTTACTAATATAAATTAATTATGAGAATAAAAATTTGGAACAAAAAAGAAATCACAACAAATTATAAACTTTAAAGAGTTCAGCAAAAACTATAAACATCCTAACATCTAGAAGAATAACATAAGATTTATATAAATTAACTACCCAGAGCACTAAAAGTATTTTTGTTTGCTTACCCCTGTCTTTCTGATTGCATAGTTTTTAATGGTCTCTTCATATGACAATTTTTACAACATTTTTAATAGAGAGAATGCAAAGATAATTTAGTCTTTCTTCTGACTTGGATGGATCAACACTTTTATTATTATTGACAGATCAGAGTGCTTCATTTTACAGTGTGTTGTGGGCACAATCATGTCAATTTTTATGGCTGTTGTCAAATTTGTGAAAATCTGCATTAAATTTCCTTCTTATACAAGTTGCAGGGTTTTACAGCATTGTTCAGTAATTAATGTTGTTTGAATCAATGCCACTCATTCATCAGTTTGTCAGAAGTCCTCATTTTAGTGGATTAATATGTTTCATGTCCTCTCCATCAATTTTTAGGTTTTATGTTAAGTCAACAAAAAATTTAGTATTCTTCCAATGTGTTCATGTGATTTTTTCCTGCTTGTTGAGTTACCAAACAATCTACATGCCTACTTATTCTACTCAAAATCTGTTTCTCTTATTGAATTACCTTTCTTTGGTATAGTCTGAAAATTGTGTTATAATTTACTTCTCAATTTCTTCTTCTTTTTTTTTTTTCTGGTACTGGGAATCAAACTCACGACCTCATACTTGCCAGGCAGGCGCTGTGCCGCTGAGCTAAATCCCCAGCCCCTATTTCTCAATTTCAGTATCATTTCTACTGAATTCATAGCTTGTCTTTAGCACTTTGGTTCCATGAACCATTAATTTTAAGTCAGTTTTTTAAAATACATAAATTTAAAGGTGACAAAGGAAGAAAATATACTCTTCATATGTCTGAGTTAGCTGTTAAATTTCAGTTGTATTCTTGAAGTTTTAAGAGACATTCTCACATGCAGTTTAGAATGGCATATGCAAATTGTATTAACTTTTTGAGTCATTTGCATATTGTTTGTTTTTTCTTCCAAGTTTTAAAAAATATATTACTGAGCCCTTAACATGTCCTTGTTATGTTGCATAGTGTGGTAGGCATATGCATTGATCGACTCTTCATTACTGTGACACAATACCTGAGAAAACAATTTAAGAGAGCAAAGATTTATTTTGACTCAGGATTTCAATCCCTGATCAGTGGGTTTTATTATTTTTAGGCCTATGGGAGAGCAGAGCATCATGGGAGAAGGGCATGGTAGTATCGGGTTAAAAACCCTTAGCTATTGTGTGCTGATCAGGCCTGCAATCTCCCAAATGAGTGGATGATAAAGGCTTAAATAAATGAGACAAAACTGGGTGTGGTGGCACACGCCTATAATCCTAGCACTCGGGAGGCTGAGGCAGGAGGATCCTTGCAAGTTCGAAATCAGCCGGGGCTACAAAGTGAGCTCAAGGCCAGCCTGAACTACATAGCAAGACCCTGTCTCAAAAAGAGCAAAAAAAGAGAGACAATTAAAATGATTTTAGGGCTACTGGAGGATCCAGCTCTCACAGAATTTAAAATTTTCTGGGTTAAGACCAAGAACTTTGTTGGGCAGCCTGTATTTATTAGGTTTTCAAACAAAGGAGGGCAATACTGAAGAAAATGCAGGACTCTGAGCAGGACTTTGGGAGAAATTTTCCAGGTAGTAAATTATGTCAATCAGGAGAACTACTTTATCTTCAGGTTGGCATTTATTGTAGGACTGTGAAGCCTGCAGCTGCATTCTCCTTTTAGTTAATTGGCGTTGGAGCCAGGCATCCTCAGCTGTGGCCTTATCTTGTCCTTTGAGGTGTCACCACTTTACAGGCCAATATAGGCCTTAGCGGTGACCAGTGACTCATAGAGTTTCACTTACTGTGAGTCTGCTGTGCATCTGCAGACAAGGTGCCTAAGCTTTGGACAACTCACAAGTAAACATGGGAAGCCAATTGGTTAATATTAAATCCTACTCAGAGCCACTTCATAGTGGTCTCCATTATGGTAGAGCAAAACTTCTTACTTCGTGACAGCCAGGAGGCAGAGAGAAGAGACAAAGAGCCAGAGAGAAGAAGGGGCCAGGGATCAGACATAGTTCCCAAGGTCACACCCCATTATTTTCTCCCTTCAGCTAAGGCACATCTCCTGTTTCTATCACCTCCCCGAAATGCCATCAAATTATGATCTCATCAATGGATCAGTCCACAGATGAAGTTGGAGCTCTCAAGAGCTGATTACTTCTCCAAAGCCCATCAGCTTGGAACTGCTGGTATTAGGGATCAAGACCTCAACACAGGGGCTGGGGATTTAGCTCAGTGGCACAGTGCCTGCCTGGCAAGTCCAAGGTCGTGAGTTCAATTCCCGGTACATGAAAAAGACAGAAAAAACAAACAAACAAACAAAAAAAGACCTCAACACATGAAGCTTGAGGGCATATCATATCTGAACCACAGCGGCATAATATTTCCCTGCTCAGATGCCCACTGCTTACTCCCATAACTTGTGAATGTTTACCTTCCATGGAAAAAGAGCCTTTGCAGATATGATTAAATTAAGGATCCTAAGACAGGGAGATGATCTTGGATGATCCATGTGGCCTGAATTTAATCACTGGAATCCTGATAATCAGAGAACCCTTCCCAGCAGAGGGAATGTGACACTACAGAATGGTCAGAGGTAGGCACCAGTACAGCCTTCACAGGGGACAGAAAGGGGCTATTAGCCAAGAAATATGGCACTTTCAGAGGAGAAGGAATATGGCCCTGCTGACACCTTGATTTTGTCCCAGTGAGACCTGCGTCAAACTCTAGAACTCTACTAAATTAGTGTTGTTTAAGTTACTAGGTCTGCAATAATTTCTTGAGACAGCAGTAGGAAACTAATACATACATCTGAATACTTTTCAAATGGAAAGCCCACCTCATTATATGTAGAAAAACTCAAGTAGGCATGTATGTTTAAGCTACTATATCCAAGACAGGAATGCAAAAAGGAAACGCTGCAGTGTTGGCAAAACGGAAGTAGTCAAGCAGGTGAGGTGCTCTGGAAGCAGCTTCTTCTCTGATGAGGTGTATAATTATGTGCACTGCTTTACTGTGTCTCTTCTTGGACAGACAGAACTTCAGTTTTGAGTAGTCACTGGTAAGAACAGAACCCTCACTGACAGTTTTACACCACTGCTGGTTAGCAGAATTTTTTTCACAGACTGGCTTCTGGCTTTGTACATTTCACACCTTGGCAGATCCTTTTGGGGGTGGGCATTGTAGCACACACGATAAATAGGGCCAGTGCTCTGTTGCCTGGACACAGAGTGAGGTGATGCAGTCGGTTAGTGGAATGGGTATTCTGGGGAGACTTTCCTTCACCACGACAGCAGCCAGTGACTTATCCATACGTGAAAGTGATGGAAACCATACAAACATGTTTCGCTAAATCCAAAATAAATGTTCCCCTAAATCAGCTTGCTTTTACAAAGTTACATAAACTCATGACTAAAGAAGGCATATTGCTCAGGGCCCTGCCAAGAGTCTCAGAGAAGCTGCACAGGACAGGAGGCCTGGAAGTAGGCGCTGACAGCTTTGTGTAAAGCCTCTGAGTCTGGACAGTTCTCTCCCTGGCTTTCCTGTCCTCTTTGGTAGTGGGGCTAGCTACCTCAAAATGTGGCTGAGAACTGGGAAAATGCCTTTGGGAAATGTCTGATCCACACTGAGTGGTTACAGGTCTTCCCTGTGTTCTGGGCTGCAGGGAAGAGGTTATAATGCCAAGGCCAAGGGAGGAAGGAAGGTGCCAGGAACAGAAGAGCCCCCGCCCTCACTCCGGATCTACCAGAAGACTGTGGCCCCTTCCCTCCCTTCCGTCCTGATGCCAGCACAGTGGGGCTCTCCAGGGAAGGGAGTACAAGCGACACAGGAGATAAAGGCTGGGAATGCTAGGGAAGGAGGGTGGAGCCTGCTGAAGTAAGTTTTGCAGAAGCTGCACCGGGTGACCCTGCCTCACTTCCTCCATCTCTGCCACCCCTAGGCTTTGCTAACAGCCCTCAGTGCTTAAATTGGAGTAACATACAGAGACTCTCTTGCCTAGGAAAGTAGCCCAGTGTCAGACAGGTTGCCCAGCCAGGCCCTGGGGTCAATCCCCAGTGTGGGGGAGGGGGAGAGAGCTCTTGGGGTTTGGAGAGAGGTTGGGGAGTGGGAGGTATCTCACCCACACAGTCAGCGAGAACTCAGCCAGTCAACACAGAACGTTGCGTGCTGGGGAGAGGGGAGGGTTGCTTCGTGAGGCTAGGATTAAGCAGATTCTCCAGGCCAGCTCAGTCCTGTTTTTGCATGTTAGGAGGTATAAGAACCCAGTTAACTTAGGAAAAGCATAACTCCTGGAAACATACAAAAGTAGGAAGTATTAAAAGGAAAGTTCCCCAAAACCTGCTCCACCGATTTAGATTTTAGATAGTCTAAGGTAGGGCTTAC